AGGGTTAGGGTTAGGGTTAGGGTTAGGCAGGGGGACTGAACTGCTATTGGGCTTCATCCTTATGGGATTCTGACCAAAGCTTGTCACAGACATTACATTAGGACACCAGGGAACTAGCTTAACTTGTTGAAATAGGGTATAACATGTCTCCTTTAAAGATAACCATAAAGAACTCTTGGTTTGAATAAAATATCTTTGTATTTCGAGGGGAAAAAAGCACATCACACAAATTGTCAACATAAGGTGATGTGTTATATTCAGCCCAGGGCTAGGTGTCCTCACACTGAGCTCATATCTGTGAATCAAACACATCGTGTACCTAAACCGAAGAGAATAAATGAAATGGAAATGTGGAGTGAGGAGTTGATCTGTTTCTGGGGTGGAGGCCGATAGCAGGAACGATCTGGAAGCCTTTTCTCCGTTATTGCTTCTTAAGGAGGTCACGCCAGATTCTGAGAGCAAAGGTGCCTTTCACCGATATGCTGAACGATCCCCCCGGGGAGATGAAGAGCCAATTAAAACACGCTTTTCTTTACTGGAACAGGGTTTTTATTCATCTGCTGGCGGGAATCTCGTGACATTCCGGGTCATATTTATGCAGAAATATAGATCATTTGAAAGCTTTACACACAAGCTCCATTTATGTCTATTTTTCTGCTAATATAGTTTGTCTTTGAACAGAAAATCCCTCAAATACGCTATATAAGTTTGACATATTTACACAACTATTAGTCATTTTAACATGAACATTTCTGATTAAGTTTATCGTAAAAAAAAAAAAATGGTATATATATTTCAACCCTTTAAAGCCTGATCCAAGAAAAATAGGTAGAATATTCTCCTTCCTGGCCTCATTACGGAGCCGCGTTTGCTCAAAGGCTCCTCAGACAATAACGTAATAACTCAGACCAGAGTTTGTACCTTTGATGCAGAAGCCTGCTTTGTACTCCTGTGTTTTTTTTATTTATCTGTAGTACAGCTGTAGTAAAAACTTTCCATTTCAAAGTCTGGAAACTTAACCCGTTAAAGCCTGATCCGAGAAAAATAGGAAGAATA